GATTTCTAAAATGTTATAACCTCTCACTTAATTTTCCTCAGTCTTCTTTTATTTCCCCTAATCCTTCTTCTTTTACGCTGGTATTATTTTTGGTGTTTAATTCTTATACAAAATCATGCAAGACAAGCTTGTACAACAATATATTTTTGAAATCTTTATGTGATTCCAAAATATCAACTATGCATTTTTTTTTTCAATTATTTAGGGAACAATGTGATCATGGTTAAAATTCCCTATGTGATTTTCTATCATCCTTTCTCATTTCCTATAAGCATTTGTTTGTAACCTTGGAAATACAACATTTGTCAATAACTGCCAAATGCCAGATCTCTATTAGAATTAACATTTCATGAAAAGTATAATTTCACATGAAACATTTAACAAGGGAATGAAAGCAAATGAAAACATCAAGGTTAACAATTTAAAAATTATGATACTTTCAATCTCAGAGAAACACTGGAATCCGTAGGTAGATGAACTACTTGCATTAGAAATATCAGCCTTACATGTAGGTCAATGGAACAAAATAGAGAACCCAGAAATAAAGCCAAACACTTAGAGCCAACTGATCTTCAAGAAAGCATACAAAAACATAAGCTGGGGAAAGGACACTCTATTCAATAAATGGTGCTGGGAAAACTGGCAAGCCACATGTAGAAGATTAAAACTGAATCCCCATTTCTTACGTTTCACAAAAATCAACTCAAGATGCATCGATCGAAGACTTAAGGCTCGAAACCATATATATTTTAGAAAATGACATCAGAAAAACTTTTCTAGATATTGGCTTAGGCAAAAAATCCATGACTAAGACCCCAAAAGCAAATGCAATAAAAACAAAAATAAATAAATGGGACCTACTAAAAAGCTTCTACACAGAGAAAGAAATAATCAGCAGAGTAAACAGACAACTCACAGAGTAGGAGAAAATTTTTGCAAACTATGCATTCAACAAAGGATTCATATTCAGAATCTACAAGGAAATCAAACAAATCACCTACATGAGTATAGTGTATACTGCTCGGGTGACAGTTGAACCAAAATTTCAGAAATTACCACTAAAGCACTTATCCATGTAACCAAACACCACCTGTTCACCAAAAACTATTGAAATAAAAATAAATTTCAAAAGAAGTAACAGCCTTAATGTTTAGCATATAGGATGTAACTCTAAAAGCTTCTGCATAAAACCTCTTGTCCATTGTTTTACCTACTGCAAGAATAAATCAATAAAATTAAATTGGTACTTTAATCACAAAGCTAGGATAAATAAGATGAATTTTACTCAATAGTAAATACTTGGTAGGAGGAAAGACAATCAGGTGAAGTTATAAAGGTTCTCAGTAGAGAGGCTCCGAAGGTCACCACCGCCCATCACAGAGAAATTACTAGTACTTACTCTTAACAAAACTTTATTGAAAAAATCACTCTTTTACCCACTTCTCAATATACAGGTACAAATACAAAGGTGAAGCAACTGCAGTTTCTGCAGGGAGAGTTAAGCCAAAGAGGTGACCTCTTTCCTCTCCTTTCCTTCACAACTATCACTTTACCTCAGTCCAAAGACACTCTCATCTCATCCATCCTAAAATAAGAAAAGTGTTCTCTTGTCTTACGTTGTCCCTTTACCCCTTATTATTTCATTTATTCATTCATCAAATATTTACCGAGCACCTTCTCTGTGCCAGCAACTTTTAAACACAGAAGAGTGTCTATAACACTGTAAAACCAGGCAAAAACCCTTGGGTTCATGGAGCTTACATTCTGTTCTCCACTTCTCATGCCAAAAACAATCTCCACTCCTCCCACCCCATTCAAAATTATCTCAATATTATCTGGCAAATGTCACACTACTTATTTTTGTAATACCTTTATTGAAATACAATTGGCATACTATACAATTCATCCAAAAAAAGTGTACGGTGATTTTTAATATACTCACAGTGTTGTGCAACGACCATCACAGTTGATTTTAAGATACACATAATTTTTGATCTAGAGAAAAATCACTATGGCTGGTGTCTTGCAGAGAATGAATTAGAAGAAAACAAGACTGGAGTTGGGAAAACCAGTACTAAGGCCTTAGCTTAGGAAAGATGATGATGTATGCACTAGATAATGCAGGGAAACTGGAGAGAAGCGTCCTGGCTTTGGGAGAATCAGAAGGCAGTTTATGTGAGATATGTATAGATACACACAACAAAATACTATTCGGTCTTTAAAATACTATTCATCCATGTTGACATTTACAACATGGATGACCCTGGAGGACATTATGTCAAGTGCAATAAGACAAAAACAGAAAACAAAATATTGAATGGTATCACTTTTATGTGGAATCTAAGAGTCAAATACATAGAAGCAGGAAATAGAAGGATGATTACCAGGAGTGGAAAGTTTGGGGGAATGGAGCAGGTACAAAGTTGCTTTAGTATAGAGATCTAATGTGCAACATGAGGACTACGGTTAAGTATATTGTGATGTATATTGAAATTAGAGGGATTTTGCTGGAAATTTGCTAAGAAAGAAGGTTTCAAGCATTCTCACCCCTTAAAAAGTAACTATGTGAGGAGCTGAGCATGTTAATTTGTTTTTGCAGTAATTATACCTCTATGTATATCAAAACATTATGGTGTATACTTTACTTATATACCACCTTTATTTTTGTGATAAAAATTTCAAAAATAGATGGAAAATTTCCAAACTTAAAAATCATTCATTGCCACAATTAATGGACTTCCCTGAAACAGTATTAACATTGTTCATTTCCTCTTCCTTCTCTACGTGTTCTTTTCATTTCTGCGTTGCTCTGCTTTGACCGTTCTCTCCGGGAGTTCTGGTTGTTTTTTTTCATGGGTCTTTCTTCTTTTATCCAAGGTAGTTGATGACGGCATTTCACTAGGTAGGTCTGTCTTCAGCCTACTTTTTCTCTTACTTTACACAAGTTTCTGTCCAATCTAATCTTTTATCTTCTGTCTTCAGCCCACTTTTTCCCTTACTTAAGCTTCTGTCCAATCTAATCTTTTGTTGTCCAAATAATAATGAATATTAAGTTTATATCTCAAGTCCAATTTGATATTTTCTTGACATTTCTATACTCATCTATTCATATAAAATTTCCATTAATTATGAGCATATATGTTTATTATTTACTGATTGCACTTATTTATCAATATGTTTATTCATACTAAAATAAGCTTGCCTAAATGTCAACAAAAGCAACCTTGGGAAAATAATTTTCAACTCAGATCTGAAGAATAAAGTGGTGTCATTCTCATATGCGGGAAGAAGGAGCTTATTGGGAAAATATATTGGCAGAAATACGAGAATATTTAGTTATTCAAAATGAGAAAGAACAATATACTTCCAAGAAATACCAAAAAGTATAATGTGATTGGAGAGTACAATGTGCACAAGAGTAACAGATACAAAATGAACTGTTCTCCTACATCACACAGTCCCTGGTGCCTGGGCTAGAAGGATGCCAAGGCCATCTCAGCTGATACTGTCACTAGATCACCTGTAAATAATCTCTCCAGGTAGCCTGAGCTTCTCACAATATGGTGGCTGAGTTCTGAAAGGAAGTATTTGGCCAGGGAGTCTCCAGAAAGCAAGTGCCCAAAAGGATTAGGTCTTTCTCGTCTAGTTTCTGAAGTTGCATAGTATCATGTCTACAATTCTCTATTGGTCAAAGCAGTTCTAGTTCAGCCAAGGTTAAAGAAGAGCAGACATAAATTCTACTTCTCAATGAAAGGAATGTCAAAGAATTTGAATTTCACTTTGTAAACTTTTCATATTAGAATTCATTTGTGTCAATGTCAGGTAGCATATATTGATGGAAGTCAAGCAGAAAGTAGTTGACACATTCAAAGAAATAATGGAGGACATTTTTAATGAAAGATCTATTTACAGAGATGTGGGTGGGGTTAAGGGAACCAATAATGAATGGCAAAGAACCCAAGGAACATAATAGCAGGGGGCCAATGGCCACCCCTAGAAGTGAAGGGACAAAGGAAAGACCCAATTAGAGCTGCAGCCATGGGACAAGGACTGCTAGTAAGAAGCTCTGCCTTTATGTAGAGGAATGAATCTGCCATTTCAATAAAACCCAGGGCTGGGCGCAGTAGCTCATGCCTGTAATCCAGCACTATGTGAGGCCAAGGCAGGTGGATCACTTGAGGCCAGGAGTTGGAGACCATCCTGGCCAACATGGCAAAACCCCGTCCCTACTAAAAATACAAAAATAAGCTGGGCATGGTGGCACATGCCTGTAGTCCCAGCTACTTGGGAGGCTGAATCATAAGAATCGCTTGAACTCAGAAGGCAGAGGTTGCAGTGAGCTGAGATCATGCCACTGCACTCCAGCCTGGATGACAGAGCCAGACTCTGTCCGAAAAATAAATAAAATAAAATAAAAAAGTCCAGCAGAGAAGAAAGGAAGGAAATTAAATTCGCAGTGTCCTTTTTATCCCAACTCTTGTTTCCTGCCAGTGACTCTAGTGAGAGCTAGATTTGACCAGAAAACAGAGGGCAGGAGAGCTTGAGAAATGTCTGTTCTAAAGTGCATCCTCTCAAAGCACAAAGACAGGCAAAGAAGGACAGAGAAGGAAAGTGAAGGGGTGTTTGTAGAATAACCAGCATAATTTCCCACCCCCCGTCAACCTCAGCATCCACTCTCAACTTGTGTTCAGATGCAAAATTGCACATACCTAACACAGACAATACTCGTATTCCTATCACACACCCCATCACTGTGGAGTGAGGTTGTTTCAGTCAGCCCAATGTAGACACAAAGTCGAAAAGTTAGCCACCACCATTGCTTCTCCTCGAAAGGAAGGAAATGGAAATGAACGACAAATAATTCATATGAAACATAACTGCTGTGGTCCCTGCCTTGCAGCTGGCCATAGAACTGTGTTAATAATCACAGATTTCTTCTCCCTCATTCATTATATATTCCCCGACTTTCTGCCAGTACCCCAGCTAGTCAAAGATCTTACCTGGTGATGAGTCAAACCTTCATTCCCAGTCTCCAAATCCTTAAAGTCTACTCTCTTTATTACTTCATCAGAGTTTCTTATTAACCATTATTATTTAAAATGAGAATATCAAGAAATATCTCAGTGAAACCCCTAGCTTTCAGGTATACTCCTCTGTGCCTACCTCCACCCCAGTCTGTTTAGCAGCAACTCTCTTTCCTCTTGACAACCAGGATTAATCTTCCTCATCAGGAAAGAGACGACCTTGTCTGTTTCTTGGTTCAGCAGCAAAAGTTTCATATGTAGGTTATGCAATGGATATTGCATAACTTTTGCAATATTTATATTGCAAGTGCCAAGGGGAGAAGGAATCTGTGATTATTAACACAGCCCTCTGGCCAGCTTCAACGCATGAACTATGGCAATTATGTTTGATATGAATTATTTGTTACTTATTTCTTTTTCTTTCATTTCTAGGAGAAGCATTGATGGTGGCTAACATTTCAATTTAGCTTCTCTTCGGGTTGGTTGAAAAGACTTCTCCCCACAGTGATGAGTGGGGCTGATAGGAATATGAGAATCATCTACACTGTGTATGTGCAATTTATTTTCATCCAAATACAAATCAAGAATGGATGCTGAGGTTGCAGGGGGGAAATTATGCTGCTTATTATACATAAGCCCCTTCACATTCCTTCTCTGTCCTCCTTTGTGTTTTGCAAGGATGCACTTTACAGAAGACATTTCTCAAGTTCCCTTGCCCTCTGATGTATGGTTGAGTTTAGCCAAACCTTCTGGCACTGAGTTTTTTGGAGAAAATTTATATACAGAGAAGCAGTAGTAACTATGTGGATACTCCATTGCACCTTGCATTCCAGGGTAGTGTACACAGATTTAACAGGACTAGACATTAGACTTTGGGAGAAAGATGCTAACATTTGGGCTGTTAGAGTAAACTGCATGATAGGAAACACTGGCTTCATTCCCAGTATAATCAGGGGCTGGAACATAATAGCATGAGGATGTGGTGGAATTGTAGTTCCAGCTCTATCCTGCCAGCTCAGCATTCATATTTGGTGATAAACCAGCCTCATCCCTGGCATAAATAGAAAGCTGGGGAAACAAGCCTCCTGGCTACAGATGTATTGTGTGGTTTGCTAGTAGCATGACTCACTACCAGAATATTCAAGGTTGGGACTTAGAGGTAGAATAGCTCTTCTCTGGCATGATGGAAGGTGAAATGGATTCCAATAGGATTTATTGCCTAGGCATGTAGCTAGTTTCCTCAGAGCTTTGAAGGGGTACCACTTCTTTTCTCTGTGGCCAGCCTCCATGGGATTAATCTTGGGCTAGTTAACCCTCACTTCTCCACACAACAAAAGAAAGCACTAACATTTCCACATCTTAATAATAAGATCTGTGTATTCTGGCTCTGGAGAAAAGACATCATTTTGGTTGCTGGAGGTTAAGAAATATACCACGTCTTATAGGACCCCAATCCTTCAGTCTAATGCCTCTGTATTAGAGGTGCTGTAAATGAGCCTTCAGAAGATTATTTCAAGATCATATCAATTGCTTAAAAGTGATGGAGCATGCGGATTTTACAGGTTTTCACCAATTACTACACTTCTTTCACCCTGCAAAGAACTCCTTAATCAGAGCTTACATTGCTTGGGACATTGCCGTGATGAATAAAACATTTAGTAAGTCCACAAATTGTGCCACTGGTAGAAGCAATGTAGGAAGGGAAGGCAAATATAAATTTGGGACATACATCTATTCTCATGAGGATGAATCATTAACCACCCCCTACATAGTGGAAGTAGTTCAATGTAATAATCCTAACCAGTTGATTCCTGTAGGTCCATCCTGAGAATTTTGCTTTTGTCTTTGTCATTGGCAGTGTGAGTAATTAGTAACAGTAGTAGCCAGATTAGTCTTGGCAGTGTGAAATCCTAATTGTTGAGCCCATGCATAGCCTCCATTCCTTCTGGACAAAGGCTCATTGAGCAAGCAGCAGGGAGCACGGAGCAGAGCAGAGAGGAAGAGGCTGGATAATACCCACTGAATGGGTGATCTTCTCCACCTAATAAGAGCATTCTCTGGGGGCATTTGCACAGTACATGGATGACTTGGCACAAGAAGTTCATATACACACCACTTCCTCTTTGTTCTTCCAATAATATTCCCTTAGCCTCACATTCTGCTACTTCCAAATTTCTCACCATTCAGCCCACCTATCATCGATGTTTAAAATAAGAGTTCTACCTCACTGTCATGCAAAGTGGACAATCAGATAAATTACCTCATGCTATGCCTACTCTTCTCTACAGAAATGTATTTCATAGCCAGCCTTGGTTTCATTCTAATGTAGTAGCCATCCACAGCTGGTTGGTGCCAGCATACCTTGTAGACCCATTTGTAAGCCATGTCTGTGCTTTTTGTTGCTCTCGTAATTTGTCAGTGGAAACTCCCCATGAGACCAGAGTGTAGGTTGCAGAGGTGATGAAATAGCAGAATTGGGATTCTGAGCTACCTGCTCATGCAACATGCTTATACCTACCTTCCCTCCTCAGGCCAGTTTTCTCTACATCATTTTCATTTATTTAAGAATGTTGCTGTTACAGCTACATTTATGATTTCATGGATGGTTAGTTCAGTTTTTGATTGGTAGAGTCTAGTTCCTGACAAGGAGCTCATGTTATGTAATCACTTGTGGGTCCACTGTTAGAAACTCAGTCTCTACCAGGGCTCAGTGGCAAAGCAAGTGTTGGCTTGAAAATGTAAGAGAATGGTCAGCAGAAAGAAAGGCTTTATTCTAAGCTCTAGGTGTATGTTCTCTAATTCCCTTTAGTGGGATGGCAAGAGAACCCATAAAGCATACGTAGTTTTTTTATGGACAGTGCTTGAGCCAATTTATTAAATTCTAAATCCTGAGTTCATCTATTTTAATAAATTCATCTTCACCCAACCTTATATTTTGTTTTCCTTTGTCTAGTACTCTTATAATATCTTCCGCCATAGGTTTCCTAGATACCTAAGAATTAAAATAGGCAAAACTCCTTTAGTTTAATCGTTTCCTCATCCTGAGCAGGACTTCCCCTTCTCTGTCTCAGCTATGCTAAGATTTAATTATCTTTATGCATTAGGAAGCAATGAGTTCTAGTGGGGATAGGGCCTGAGAAGAATTAGCATCTCCTAAGAAAGCACCTCTACGGGAAAAGGCATTAAAACATTTTTATGCAAAAGAAGATTCTTATAGCTTCCTAGGTAGAAACAAGGAAGGTTTGAGGACTGGAGGTTCAGTGTCTCAGACTCATCCCTTTATCTTCAAAGGTTCTCATCTCACATCTCAGATCCCACTGTTTCATAACCAGTCCCCTACTTTAGCACAGAAAATCTGACAGGACTGAGCACTTGTTTTGGCCTTGTAACCTTGTGACACTTAAAAGCAGTCCACGGATTTAATACTCAGCCAGGCTGACCCTGTAAATACAGGAAATAAGACCTCCTGTTAAAGTCATCATAGAGGCTTTCAGATTCTTCTTGATGCATTGAGACAAGCATTCAAGGTGGTCAGTTTGTCTATATTTGTACAATGAACATTGGAATTTTTTGTACCATGTAGTATCTCACCAACAATAAAATGTGTAGTATTTCAGGGACAATAAAAAACAATCAGATATTCCATAAACTCTGTGGTCACTATTACCCTGTAATGGTTTAAAATATGTCCACAAATTCTTAGATAGCCTCTTTAAAAGGTAAAACCTAATCCCACTCTCCCATCCCTGGTTGAGTGTAGGTTAAACTTAGCCACTTACTTCTAATGTTCAGAATGAGCTGGAGGCAATGGTTTGTGAATTCTATATCAGACACTTCCACAAAAAGCATGTGGCTTCCTACTTACCCTCGACCTGCAAGGAGAAACCAGTTTCATGTCAATATTAGCCAGCCCCTATGAAGAAGCCTACACGGTAAAGAGCTGAGTCCTCTTGCCAACAGCCAGCAAGAAACATAAAGGTGGGACATCTTCGAAGCAGATTTCTTATCCTCAGTTAAGCCAACAGATGGCTGCAGCCCCAGCAGATATTTCAACTGCAACCTCTTTGAAGTCTGTAAATCAGAAATACCTAAAATACCAGGTAAGACACTCCTGACTTCATGCCCTACAGAAACTGTAAGATTATTAGTGTTTATTGCTTGAAGCCACTAAATTTTGAGGTTACTTGTTACACAGTGATGAATAACTAATACACCCATGAAGTGAATAAATATCACGAGATATTGACCTGTGAGTGTCTCATTCTTCCCTCCATCTCAAGTCACTACACAGAGAAACTTGAGTAGTCTTGATATTACTGTGTGAGCTCATCAAATATGCGAAGAACACAATCCCAGAATTCCGCTTTGGAAGTCAGTTTCCTAGGTCTACTCTTGGTAACAAATTCTGCATTTATAAAGAAAGAGGAACATGGCTAAGCCAGAGGAGCAATGAACGAAGCATAAGACTCCTTATAGCATTGTGAAAAGAGTTAAGGGACCAGAGAAGAAATAGTAAAGAATCCAGAAACAAGAAACTGTAGAAATGTGTTATTTCTGCAGAACCTGGAGAGAGCTATAGTTGTGATCCAAATGACCTGTAGCCTCAGAAAGCAAGGAAGGGAGAAGAGCAAATACCCTGACCTCTTTCTCAAGCTTTTACCTTCTCATATAGTTCTGCTATGTCTCATTGGCCAAACTCAGCTGGAAGCCAGACGGTAAGGGTTCCTTGGTGATGTGGACAGTAAAGCCTGCCTCAGGCCACAGAGTAGATGAGAAGAAGAATGAATGTCTCAGTCTGTTCAGGCTGCTGTAACAGAAATTCCATGGGCAGGACCAGGCGCAGTGGCTCATCCCTGTAATCCCAGCACTTTGGGAGGCCGAGGTGGGCGGATCACAAGGTCAGGAGATTGAGACCATCCTGGCGAACACGGTGAAACCCCGTCTCTACTAAAAATACAAAAAAACTAGCCAGGCGCGGTGGCGGCGCCTGTAGTCCCAGCTACTGGGGAGGCTGAGGCAGGAGAATGGCAGGAACCCGGGAGGTGGAACTTGCAGTGAGCCGAGATGGCGCCACTCACTCCAGCCTGGGCCACAGGGTGAGACTCCATCTCAAAAAAAAAAAAAAAAATTCCATGGGCAGGGTGGCTTGTAAACAACAGCTGGCTTATCATCATTCTGGAGGCTGGGAAGTCTAAGATCAAGAAGCCAGCCGATTCTCTGTTTGGTGAGGGCCCATTCCTCATAGACGGCACTTTCTGGCTCTGTCCTCAAACGATGGAAGGGGCAAGGCAACTGGGGTGTGTTTTACAACAGCACTCAT